TCAGCATGGCTGCCAGCAAAAATATGTAAGTATTAACTTTATATTGTATTTTAATATTTAATGCACATTTTTATCTTTGGATTTTTTTTTAATTCCTTGTTGGAAATATATAATTTTATATTAGATTTACATTATCAGGCATGCAAGATTTTATTTGAGGTAAAAAAAATGAAATGTTGAGTTCGATTAGTGCATATATCTAACTGTCCATCTTTCATAGAAACTTGTAAATTAAACTAATAACTATCGGTAGAGATCTATATAGCCGAGCATTATGATCATTCAGTTTTTTTTCTTTTAGTTCATTATGTAACGTTACTAATTTATATTCTTTATCCCCGCAATAGAAAAGTGAATGTGAGATCAAAAATTAAGCTTATCTTTGTTTTGTGGCCCTGTAGCCTGGCCCAAGACTTGAATTTTAGCATTTCCAAATGAATGAATAAATACACTAGGGTATACTTATATAGCCATCTAGCTAAGTACATGTACACGGGCTTTTGTATCATATAGGCCTACGTACTGTTCTTTCTTGAATTATTATTTAATTTGACTGAACAGTTTGTTAGAAATATATATACTAGTAATTTGCTACGATTTCTTGACATTAATAAACATTATACATTTTTCTACAGCCAATATGGTGTATTTTTTAAAAATAATTTCATACAGTACCTGGCCATAAGTGAGTCATAATTTTATTTATTTATATATTCATTAAAATGCTTTTTTCTTAAACATTATTGCAGTGTTATTTGTTGCTCATTTTAATGACTAAAACACCATAATTAACATGTAAAATTCTGTTAGTTTCTTCATCTTATTTCCAAATAATTATATCTCAAAAATATATAGGCATCGTGGCGAGAAATTACATGCATTGATGTAAAATGCGAATTTAAAAAAAAAGGTAACAACTCCTATTTGTAAAAAAAAAAATTAAAAATCATAGTAATATGAGGTTAGGATTTTTTTCTGGACGAATACATTCTCTAATTTTATAAACAACTCAATATTTCATTTATATGTGGCATTAAAATTCATTTTTTTTTATTTGTTAAAAAAAGGTCTTGTCCTCCTAAAAAAATATAACAAAGCATGATCTGACTCGCAATTTTTGACAAACCCCCCTTTTAGAAAAATAATATGGGTCTTCTTAATTAGACTATGACTTTTACCGTTGTCCTTAAGATTATATTATAGGTTATAAACTCAAACCAACTTGTATTCGGGATTTGAAATTATTTGTCTTTTGGATCATGAATACATTCAAACTTTGCTTTTGAAAACAGCTCAGGTGGATTGAAAATTAATTTCAAACTAGAATTTCAATCCAATGTTTTCTCGGCCGTCCGCATCGAATTTTGACAGCCCCCCCCCCCCCCCCCTTAAACAATCAAATGGCCTTCACCCGAAAAAATAATTTATGTCTTCTATGACTTAAACCATTTTCCTTAAGATTATATATAGGTTATAAACTAAAAACAATTACACGTATTTGGGATTTGAAATTATATGTCTTTTGGATCATACATTCAAACTTTGCTTTTGAAAACAACTCTAGCTGGTGGATTGAAAATGAATTTCAAACTAGAATGTCAATCCTATGTCTCAAATTGTACTGCCCATTTCATTGTTTAGGCCTATCAGTAAATGTTTTGATTGTAACAGAAAGAAATGACGTAAGGTGCATATTTCCAATCTTGCCAGTTAATGCTTCGCGGTCTTAAACTCTCTCTCTCTCTCTCTCTCTCTCAATAATTAGTAATTTTGTAATGCAAACACGATTCAACAATAACATACTACTTTTATCACACATAAATAAAAACTTTTTCATCCCATTAAAATATCCTATAATGAAGGTATTTTTTATCAGACTCAAAGTGATTATTTTGTTTAGCTCGCACTCAAAGATGAATGAAATATATATATTTTGCAATTTCCAGGTGGGGGGGTGTCCAGGACACCCCACCACCACTCCCCGATCCGCGCAAGTAACTCAGCAGTGAAGCATTTCATTTGCTGCAATCGTGAAACACGCCGTTTTGGTGCAGGGTAGCATGCGATGATGGTTCCTTGTACCTGTTTTGCTTCGTGTACGGCCTTGGCAAAGATGAGCCAGGGGACCAGGGGCCTGTTTCACAAACATTTCCTAAGATATGTCGTAAGACATAACTTAAGATATGCCTAAGTTATAACTTAGGAAGTTCCTAAGATTTGTCACAGCTGTTTCACGAAACAATCTTAACTTAACTTTATCCTAGGACATTTCTTAAGCCGTGAATAGCTGTGTGTAAATAATAACCCACATAACTACAAATCCTTAACATGTATTGTAAGAGTAGTTTGAGTAGTCTTTAGTTTAAGGTAGCTTATTTCAATTAGTTTGAAAAAAATAGTCTGAAAGGGGGAGAGGTGTGGATTGGGGGGGGGGGGGTTATTGTGGTAAGGATTTCTTTTACTTTCATATAAAATGGACAAAAGTGTGATTAAACTGACCTACTCAATTATTTTCCTTGACAAATTGTCCGATGGAACTTAGTACACCCTCACCTCCATACCACATACGATATATATGCATGTATTTTTTTTAATTATTCTAAAAGTAGGCGTTTGCTTAATACAAGGTAACGTTCCTAGTAAACCTTATCGAACACGGCAGTCGTTAGATATATTTTTTTTTCTTCATGAATGGGTGCTTTTTCTTTGTCTGATCTTCGTTAGTAGTCCGTGCTTCGTTTAAAGCTTTCTCGCTCACAAAATAACAATGTCTCGACAGAAGAGGAACCCCAATTTTACGAATGCTGAAATAACTATTCTTATAAAAGAAGTAGAAAGAAGAAAAGATGTTCTTTTCTCCAAGCACAATTCCACCGTGACTAATCAAGCCAAAAAGGGGGAATGGGACCATATTTGTTCTAAAGTGAATTCGGTCAATACAAGTTACATTAGGTCAGCAGAGGAACTAAAGAAAAAGTGGAGTGCCACTTGCAGCGAAGGTAAAAAGAAATTCGCAAAAATTAAAAGGGAACAGAGAAAAACTGGAGGTGGTCTTTTGCCGGCAGACTGTACTACAACCCCACTAGAGGAAAAAATACAATCAATTTGGGGTGAGACATCTACATCCGGAGTTGAGGGGGGCATCGACACTCTTGTACAAAGTGAACGAGGTTGGTGTCCACTAATACTAGTATTACATACGAATATCAAATCTTTTTTAAATTCTAAAAATGATTGGGGCACTTGTCCATAATTTGTTAGTTATTAACAAGTTGTGGCGTGTTTGTTCTAGCATCTTTTTTGCCAATTCTTCTAGTCATATTTGTATTTTTCCTCATGTTTATTAATATCCTTGTAAGGGATATATTCAAATATGGGCATGTTTAACTTTTTACTTATATGGTTAATTTGTTTAGCATTCTAAAAAATGCCCATTTACAACAAAAAGTTTGTTTTTATACTTGCAAAAAACATAGCAGAGTAGACTCATGGATGGAGAAATAAATTATTAATTCTAAAAATGATTGTTATTTACTTCAGATTAAACACATACATTCACACACCTTCCCTCACCAGGCGCGGATCCAGAAATTTTTCAAAGGGGGGGGGGTGTTGAAGTATTTTCAAAAGGGGGGTTGAAGGCGAAAACAGTTAAAGCGTACGTTGTACACATACATAAAGTTAAATAACTCAATAGAATATCGTTACATGGTCGAGTATGGTTTTTGAAAGTGGGACGTTGATCAATCTGGGAAAAAGTACTTGTATACATTACCAGAAAGTTTTTGAAAAAGAAAGGAAAATAAATCTCCGAACCTGAAAATCCTATTTTGTAAAGGGATGGGGTTTTATTTTGTTTTTACAACCGAATTTCTTTATATATTACAACATTAGCCTTTCACCTTACATTTTCTATAGTAAAAACACAACAACAAAATTGGAACTTTCTTATTTCTCTTTCTTTTTTGCAAATCCAAAGGGGGTGGGGTTGCAACCCCCGTAACGTAACCCCCCCCCCCTCTGGATCAGCCACTGCTCACCTACAAACACATCCTCACACACACACACCCTAACATTAATATATATATAACGTATATGATTTATTTATTATAATATTTATAACTTTTATTTTATTTTAAAGATGAGTCGAATGAAGTGGAAAGAAAAGGGGGTATCCTTACAGAAAGTCTATCAACGGACCAATCATTGGAAGTATCTACGGCTACAACAACAGTTACTGCTACATGTAGTGAAACTAGCAAACCTACATCAACATGCATTAATGGTAAACTCATCATTTCAATCTGTATACTTGAGTCATCATCGTCTTTAAAACTGATCAATCACTGCACTGAAAATAATGCTTTGTTTAGTTCTAAAAAAAAAAAAAAAATGACATTCAAAAGATAAAAATAGCTCCCTGAGAAATACAGACCCCTTTAAAGATTGCAATGAAAGACATGTATCTGAAGAGAAAAAGAATTTTCCTGACTTTTTTGTAAAAATTATTTTCTTTCTACATCTGACATATCTTAGAGTTCATGTACATCCCAACCTGGAAAATAATCCTGCGCCTGTCTTTACTTATACATGTACTAATCTTCAAATGTGTAACATATTTTTATGCGTTCATTCTTTTTTACTTGTAGCACCAACTAGGAAGCGAAAACAGGACCTGCAATCACCATCACTTGAATTAGTTAAAATTGAAAAAGAAAGACTGGAAATAGAGAAAAAGAGAATGGAGCTTGAAGCAGAAAGACTGGCAGTTGAGCAGAAACGGCTTAGTATAGAGCAGGGGAGACTGCAAATTGAGCAAGAAAAACATAATATTAAACTTTGTCAGTTGGGCATTATTTCTAATGCCACAGTAACACCTATCCAGTAAATAAATTTTGTAGATGTTATAAATGTTTTATATTTCATATTACACTCATTTATACACAAAAGTATTTTATTCTTCAGTACATGTCATTCATTAGTACATGTGCATACATTTTCTAAAATCTAGCTTCAATCAACTGTCTCCTATTGTCATTTCCATCATTTAGGGTTCCACGATATACACAGTCATTACCGTCATTAATAACAGGCCTGCCTTGTGGTTCTGGGACTCTGTTTTCAACACAAATGTTGTGCAAAACTGCAGTCGCCACTATGATGTTGCAGGTTCTTTTGGGTGAAAACTGTAAAGTACCACCAGAAGTGTCCATGCAGCGAAAGCGCATTTTCCACACTCCGAAACACCTTTCAATTACATTTCTCGTTTTTATGTGTGCTGTGTTATAGGCATTCTCCTTGGGTGTAGTTGGGTTCATAACAGGTGTAAGTAGAAATGATCTAAGTGGATATCCACTGTCACCTAAAAGCCAACCTCTTGGGATATTCTTGTTTTCAAAAAGTTGACAAAGGGTGGAATTGTTCCATACAAACGAATCATGTGATGATCCAGGCCACTTTGCTACTATATTAATGAATTTCAGTTTTGCATCACACACAGCCATAGTGTTTATAGAGTGGTAATTTTTTCTGTTCACAAAGACGTGCTCTTCAAATGATGGGGACTTTATTCCCACATGTGTACCGTCTATTGCGCCTATAACATTAGGGAAGCCACAAATTCTTGAAAAATCATACATTCTATTTGTAATTTCATTCTCATCAATGGACATTTTTATATATCTTGGACTTATTTTGACCAATGATTGAGACACATCTCTGACAATTCTTGAAATGCTCGACTTACTTATTCCATGTAAGTCGGCAGTTACTGTTTGAAAGTTACCAGTAGCAAAGAAACGTAATGCAGCCATAAGCTGCAGGGATGGTGGAAGTGCATGAGACCTTCGTGTAGGCCTTGTGATGTCATTTTGTATCATTTGACAGATGTCCAATATCAAATGACGAGGCAGTCTAAACTTTGAAATTATCTCACGGTCATCCATATAGTCCAAAGGATTGTTTCTATCCCTAAACAACCTCTCTCTCCGTAACAGTCTCCGTTCGTTTATTATTAAATATGCAGCCGCCATATTTAGTTTCTTCCTAAGTCATCGATTTACCTGTCCTAAAGTTACGACATAACTTAGGAATATCCTAAGATAAGACGAGGTTAGTGAAACGGATAAGTAATGAACTTAGGAAAAAGTTCTTTCCTAAGATAGAACTTAGTCCTAAGTAGGCTTTGTGAAACGGGCCCCAGGATAGTTGGCTAGTTGCAGGACAAACGCACGACGGTCACGTGACTGTCTCAGCCAATCAGATTTTATTTTACTTGTTTATAAAATTGTTGTTTTTTTCAATGAAATAGCAGAAAGAAACTTATGACTCACTTATGCCCCTGTACCGTAGTTCACAATTTACATTCTAAAATTCAATATTATTTTTGACTATTTGATTCATTTTGATTCATTTAATTGTGCGTATAATTAAAATGTTTATGTCACACTAACATGTAAATTACAATATTTTTTTAAATATCGATGCTGATCAGATAAAAAATACCATTTTTATCAAATATAACGATTATTTTGATTATAAAGAAAATAGTGGGTAAATCTGGCATTGGAATGTTGTCATTCCGGAGATTTGCTGCTACTTGTATAATTATGCATTTTTATTGAATTATTTTAATTTGCAATGAAAAACTGGTAGATGAGTATACATGTATACATGGGCATGCAGTCTATTAAGTATTAGGCCTCATGCATTCCTTTTTAATATTTATTTTAATATTTATACTTTTATTTATTTAATCTTTCATTTTTATTTACATATTCATTTATTTTATTTCTATTTATTTATTTATTTTATTTATTTAATTAATAGGTAAAACAAAAGCTATTGAACTACCACTGTATACGAATATTGAAAGTTCATTTGAATAAGTGTGTTTAAAAAAAAGAAATGGAATGAGATTTTTCTAAAAATATACAAGATGGCTGAGCATGTCTCATACTGGACATTACGACGACAAATTCACACGAACGTTGATAAGCAAATTGAATCTTTGGAGAAGAAAATGAGACAAGAAAATGTTGATTATTTTTCTAACGAAAATCAGAATTTTTCTGAACATTTAGCTCAGAATTGTCATTTAGCTTTAGACCCCACCAGAACTGATTCATTAAATAATGACCATCAAAACTCGTCATTAGAAATTAACCATACTTCTCCTTCCGGGGCTGGTGCAAATGGTAATGATGGTGAATCAGAAATGAGTTATGTGTATGATTCTGATGATGCACCAGAACTGAATTCAGCAGAAGTCGATAACCACTTCACAAGTTATATCTCAGATACTGATAATGATAGTTCAAGTTCAGACGAAAGTAAGGGAAGTTTAAGGGAGAATTTGAGAGAGTGGGCTGTTGAGCATAATGTTTCAAATTCTGCATTCGGAGATTTGCTTAAAATTTTAAGAGTGTGGAATTCAGATCTGCCGAAAGATACGAGGACACTTTTATGTACAGAGACTAACTATAACATACAGAAAAAATGCGGTGGGGAATATTTTCATTTTGGGATAGGTAATGGTATGACATCCTATGTAACAAAGTATTTGGCCTCTGTAGAAAGTTATATTTACTTAAAGCTCCAGATTAACATTGATGGCCTCCCTTTGTTCAGAAGTTCCCAACATCAATTGTGGCCAATTCTTGGTATGTTTAAAAATGGCAATAACAATGAACCGTTTATTATTGGGATATTCTCAGGAACTAGCAAACCCGATAATTTGCATGATTATCTGAGAGACTTTATTCAGGAATATGAAGAACTTCGCACAAACCCTATGTCTCACGAGGGGAAAAGTATATTTCTTGAGATCCACTCAGTAATCTGCGATGCCCCCGCTCGAGCATTTGTCAAATGCATTAAATCATTCTCGGGGTATCATGGGTGTGATAAGTGCATCCAAGAGGGTAAATGGAGGGGTAAAATGACTTTCCCTAAAACTGATTCACAACTCCGTACAGATACTTGTTTTGTCAATAGAACGTATGACGAGCATCATAGAGGAATATCACCATTTACTATTTTAGGTATAGGAATGGTTACGAATTTTCCCCTGGATTACATGCATCTTGTATGCCTGGGTGTCACAAAGCGTTTTCTTCTGCTTTTAAAGAAAGGTCCCCTAAAGTGTCGCTTAAGTGCTGATAGCATAAGATGCATTTCTGAAAATTTGGTAGCACTGGAAAACAATGTACCATCAGAGTTTGCCCGTAAACCTAGGTCTGTTTTTGAGATAGATAGGTGGAAAGCCAGTTTTTGCTTTATACAGGTCTGGTTGTTCTCCATGGCGAAGTTCACCCTAACATCTATAGAAATTTACTCCTGCACGTGGGAATTCATATTCTTCTCAATGACACGTTGTGTAGAGCCTATAATCAGTATGCCCATGACATATTAGAGGGCCTTGTAAAACATTTTAGTGACATATTTGGGAAAGACATGATTGTGTACAATGTGCATTGTCTAGTGCACCTCTCAGAAGATGCCAGAATATATGGCAGTGTAGACAACATTTCTTCGTTTCCTTACGAAAACTTTTTGGGTAAGGTAAAACGTATGGTTCGAAAACCTACTTTTCCACTCTCTCAAATTATTTGCCGACTTTCGGAACAAACTAACATAAAGGAGGCACGACCAACATTTCCCGTCCTGAAAAAGGAACATAGACGTGGCCCTTTGACAGACAATCTTCTGATAGGTTTACAATATGCTATTGTAAAAATGCTAAACTTTCAGCTCAAACTGAATGTCAAGGATAGTTGTGTCAGAATAAATGGAAGTGTTTCCATTGTAAAAAAACATTGTACAAGATGACAATGACAAAGAAGTTTGCATTGTTTACCAGTCATTTAAAAAGTTGGAAAACTTTTTTACATCTCCGCTTGACTCAAGTTTATTGGGCATAATGTTGGTTTCAGAGCTAGAGCATGAAATAAGATCAGCAAAACTGTCTTCAATTGAGACAAAATGTATCTTGCTTCCATTTAAAAACAAACATGTGGCAATGCCATTTACTGATTCTGTGTGGTAATAAAATGTGTTAATAGACAGATTTTTTTTCTTAATTTTTCAAACTTGCTAGAAACGATTCATATGTACAGTGTATATATCATAGTCTGATTTCAGTTTTTATTATGCTCGTAAAAAGAAGTAATGCGAACATTGAGATATTTTGAATATTGCGTGACAGAACTAATTTACTATTAAATTCTAAATAATGAGAGAAATCGTTCAATCTTTCAATATTTACTACTTGGGTATATTCTTTTATTTACATTTTAGAGTATGTGACATGCTTGAGCTATAAAATTAAAGATTCATGGATATATTTCACCAAAACTGTAAACAGATATTTAGATTACTAGCCTTAGTTACATGTAGTACTGATTGGAATCAATTAAATACCACTTTTTATTTATTTCTCTAAATTATTAACTTAAGGCCCACAATTCGGTATGCAGTGGTCGAGTTTACCGCAGTAAACGAAGTGGAGGTGGTTCCAACAAATTGGCTGACTGGGGATGACAAGCTGTGCCACTGGCCTAACAGATTCAAAGCAGCAAAACTGTCATTGGCTGTAAAAAATGCAGTTGCACCATCCAACGAGTTTAAACAACTAGCCATCAGAGTGCTCTACAAGGGTACTTAATATAATATATAATAAATGTATTTTTGTACTGTGTATATTTCACTGATACAATGCTCAATTTCAGTACATGATCATGAGCTACTTATTTCAGGAGAAATGGGTGGGTGGCGATCTTCAAGTTTAGGAAAGCTTTTTTGAAGTGCCTGATCTTACAATGTACCGTCAAATTTTCAATGAGTTTTTCTTCGAATGATAAAATTAGATAATGATCGATGGGCAGCCTTTTTTGTTTCTGAAATGGGAATTAACTCGAAGATTTTAGTTAAAAATGTTGCTTGGTAGAGTTATTCCCCTTTCAAAATGACAAAAGATCACATAAGTTTCAGCTTTTCTGGCCCAGTGGTTCTTGGGAAGAAGATTTTTAAATATTTTTCCTATATATTTCTATGTAAAACCTTGATTCCCCATCAATTTTTCCTTGGGAGAACGGGAGATGGGTGATACTACAACGTATAAGGTCAAACAAACATCAGTAATTTTTTGAAAAATATTTGCAAAAAAATATGCTTATGACAAAACAAGTTTTCAACATATGGATGGAGGGGGGGGGGTCTTGAATTACTTGTATCATTTTCCAAAAGGTTTTTATGTGAGTTGAGTAATTTAAACTATGCTTATTTAAAATTCCTTATATCAATTTAAATCAATGGGTATTTATATATATACCCAGTATGTTAAGTAATATCAAATGGCTTAGCGGAAAAATTCCCCTATTTAAATGAATGAATCATTTCTGTCGCTTTTTTACTGATAAAAATTTATCTGTCTTTTCAAAGGGTCTTATGATCAGGCCAGAAGAAAATTAGCTCTTGCGGAATTAACTTCCGATCTGCAAACAGATGCTGATGATGATGATAATTCTAAAGGCAAAAGAACTACACGGTATTTAATGTTAATTGAAAGTTTTAACACAGAGAATGTCTTGATTTTTTTTATTCCCTTATTATTATGTCTTATATATTAATGTATTTAAAGAAACGAGAGGCTCATGGGCCACATCACTCACTTGAGCACAATGGCTAGTGAAAAAAGCAAAAATCATTTCAGTATCGAAAAGTTTAGATGTAGGGATAGGGCTTGGAACTTAAACTACCTGATGGTGCTTCCACGTCAAAATAAAAAATGAATTTGCTGTTCTTGAGCAGAATACTTCTTCCTATTTATTTATTTGCCAAGGGCCCTCATTTGACATGATTTAATTTAAAACTACCTGAGGATGCCTCAATATGTGCAAAACTAATTATATGGCTTTCTGTATACTTCAGAAAAAAATTCTTCCCTCTATATACCTATGTAAAACTCAAATTAATCACCCATTTTGGCCCCGCCGTACCTCTGGAGGTCATGCTTTGACCTATGGATACTTCCATATGAATTTCACGTATAATTACTAATTATCTCCCCTTGAAAAACGATGTGGCCATTCATTTGAACACACTTTAACACCTTTATCTATGGATACTTTGCGACAAATGTTGTTGAACTGGGCCTATTGGTTCTTGAGAAGAAATCGAATATGTGAAAAGTTTAAACACAGACAGATGGACAGCTGGACTGAAGCCGGACAAAATTTGATCAGAAAAGCTCACTTGAGCCTTCGTCTCAGGTGAACTAACATCTTCCCAAATCAAGAGTTTCTGATCCGCTCCACTCCCCATAATGGAGAGGATCAGAAACTCTTGACTTGGGAAGATGGTGAACTAATAAAACACTTATCTTGTAGCCCAAATCCTAGATATGCCTCCGATACTGAGAGTGAGGAAGACGTTCCTCTTAAAGTTCCGAGGAAATCTCCCCCGACGCCACCTCTACCCCCAGTAATAGCCTTCCCCTCAACCTCATCAACACAGTTACCGAACTGACCAACAAATCACCACCAATTGCCACTAGCCTTGCAACAACTCCCTCATCTTCAGACCTCCCTACCCTCTTCGACAGAACACCAAGAACTATCAGAGCATCTGGTAAACATTCTTTCCCTTGTTTAGAACATCATAGACGTAGAATACTAGTAAACAGCTCCCGTTGCCCCGACTCCGACCCATCAGTTAAATACTAGTGTGTAATTTATATGTAATCATTGTTTGATTAGGTAATCAACAAAGGCAGTGCAGCACACACTAATTGAAATAAAATATCATTTATGTTGAAATGTTAGTCTGATCCCAGCTGTTCTTTTTTATATACTTTTTTTTTATACTTTAACCATGTGTATTGATAGATTATTAATAAACAGGCTCACAGTAAATGATGCACTGAGACAATACCTTAAGGTGGCTTACAATTATACTTTTTAAAACCATACATCACAAGATGGCGTTTAAAATGTCTTATAAATTGTTTGTATCAATTCATTTGGTCGAATAAGAGTGTAGCGGAGTGATAAAGTTTAACATTCTGGCTTGTGAATCGCAAATCCCGAGTTCGAATCCAGCTGAGGCTTTTATTCATATATATGCCTGGTCGATTTAAGACACTGTATTTCAATCAAGGTGGAATGCCACCCAACTTTTTATTTTATAGATCGTTGAGTCAACCTTTTTAAACAATGGTTTCAGCATTGAAAGACCGATAATTAACACAAAATGAATAAAATACTTATTTATTGCTTTTTTCGTGTATGTACAATGATGATATCTATTTGATTGTCAAGTTCAATAATGTTATAACCATTATTACACGTGAACAGACTAGAGTTCTTAGGAAAGTGTTATTTTATTTCCAATAATTGTACAATCATGGTGGGATAGGTTTAATAAATTTCTCTAAAATTTGGCTATTTCGTCTCAATTTCTTTTACAAATTATATGATTAACAAATATGTTCTTCCCAGGTGTGGCTGTTTTTTTTTAGAAGATTTTAACCACAAAATATTAACAAATGTTGTGTTTTAATTTCATATCTATTCGACTTATCTTTATGTATTTTTTTTAGGTTTTCATGTGATGCATTCATTTACAGCATTTTTTTTAAAATACAAAACAGCATCTTATGTTGATGTTAATATATATGTTTTCTAATTTTCTTTGAAAAAATACCAAAAAAAAAAAATAATAATAAAATAATGAAGAGCTAATATCGGCCTTTCAATGCATAAACCATTGTTTAAGAAGGTTGACTCAGAGATCTATAAAATAAAAAGTTGGTGTGGCATTCCTCCTAAAGTAGTATAGAGCCACCTTAAGCCCCATACCTCTCCTATAAGTCACACATAATAGGGGAAAGAGTCCTCATGTTACTCTTTATGAATAAAAATCTCAAACTGTTTTTCAAAAGTAATTTTCTGATATTTCTTTTCATTATTCAGCAATTGAAAGACAGATTTTTACCCATTTGGAGGAAATTAAAGTCAGAGTGAACTTAAATACGAAATTGTTACATGCACTGTTGAGAAAAGTGGACAATGTTTGTACAGTAGGAGAGGAGGGGGATGAATCACAGGACTCATATTTTCCATTGTCCACCAGGGATGGGATTGAGGCCTTAGAAAATAAACTTGAAGAGCGTGATGGACTCTCGGCTAACTTGGTACGCTTTCCTTCTTTAAAATATTTTTGATTGTGAATGTTATTAAGGATGTAGATTTTCTTGTAATGGATATATCTTTGAGATAAAACATTAATTTATTATGTCTATTTCCCCTAATTTCATTATGTATATTAACTTTTATTAACAGGTCAAAGTCCTGGGTGGTATTGGTGGGGACAGTTTGAAATCAACTGTGAGAAGGCTTTTAAAATATATGATTGAAAACGATCTTGCAAAGCAGATTAATTGGCTGGGAAAAGGGGGGAAGCTCGCCTTCTCTTCCTTAAAAGGATGTATTCGCTTTGACAAAAGAATTGACCTATAGGAGAGAACAATTTCCCGGAAAAAGTGACATTGAATAATTAATCATTATTTGTTGTTTTCTACCGTATATATGTCTAAATTTTTCAAATTTGTATTTTATACCTTAAATTTATTATTTATTTCTTTATAATACACCTCCAAAGTTGGCCTTAACACCATTTTGTCCGAAAAAGTGTTGATTTTTGCATGAATTTTGGCCTAGAAGTCCTTCAGGGCAGGCCTGCCCCTAAATAAAATTGTGATATTTTCATAGGTTTGATAGGATTTTTTTAGGGGCACCCCTGCCCTAGGGTCGAAATTCACAAAAAACCTACAAAAAATAAGGAAACCTGATTTTGATAATCTGCTTCAAATTTATACCGGTTAATGATATAGTCAGACCAGCTCAGTTGATATATACGCTGACTATTGTAGTGTGCACACTAACATTTTAAAGTCGGGGTTCGAATCCACCTGGTACCACACTTTTGAATTTTTAAATTTTTGCCTTTTCAAAGCCAATTATATATTTTTTATAGCCTTGTGTATTTTCCTTCAATTATATATCCTTTATGCATGCCCATTCTTGATATAAGAAACACGAAAGAGATATCAAATCGTGAAAATCCAATGTACAGTTGTCAGTCAGGCGGAACAAACCTCAGTATAAGCACACTTTCTCCGAGGACAAGAATAACTCACTCTGTGTTACTTAATACAGGTACATTTGGCAGCATTGAGCTGCAATGAATGTCAATTGTATATATTCCTTAGGATTTAATAACATTGATTTTGGCTACATACATTTCAGTAACTGTAGTCCTCGGATTTGATTTAGGCCTATATAATTTGCATACATTAATGGAATGTTTTACTACATTCACGGATAAAATTGCCTAAACATAAAGAATAGAATTTCAGAGGCAGTAAACATTACCATTATGCTTATTGAGAAGTTATGACAAATATCAATTATTACATTTTGAGATAACAAACTCAGGAAATCAATGAAAGGGTTCCTCATACCTCTACTCGCTGAAAAAAAAAGATTTAGGAAAAACAAATTGTTATATGTATTTAGCCTAATGCCATTAATCAGAACGGAAACCGACAAGGTTTTTGTAGAGAAAAAACCAAGCCCGGTCCTATAGATCAAATCCCTATTTATAATGAAGTGATCCTTTAAAGAAATTCTGATAAGTAAGTACAAATACAGGGAGTTTGATTATTATGAAGAGACAATACTCTTATAAAACAGTGCTTATGTATATGTACGATGAAAGACAGATTTAAGTTTAACACTAGATACATTTTACCTTTATTTTTTCAGAAGGTGTACGTAGGGACAGACTATGCTCTTCGGCCACAGAGGCCGAAGTATGCCACACTGCAAAAGAATGGTTTCGATATGCGACAGATAGGGAGGGGGGCAGGAAGAGGAGGGAGGACAGGAAGAAGGCGGCAGCAAGAGAGGTGGAGCAGGCTGAAGGGGACCAGCGTGATGATTCCTAAATAACTGTATAATCATAGGAAATTGACTCTCCAATGTTTTTTTTTTATTTTCATACATTTATTCTTATGCAAATTTATTTCTTTATATTTTTAATTCTGAATTCCTTTATTTCTTTCTTCATTAAAACATTCTTATTTTTCTTTCAAATGATCCAAATTATGTTACACAAAAAAATAATGAAATTAATAATGGAAAGCTTTAATAAAGTTTTTGTAGACGCTACATTGTATCTACATTGAATAAAATTTGTTGTCATTGCATGAGAAGGTTGACATGGGGCCTACATTGGACCAACATTGTAATCATCTTTGGTGGTGACATTGGGTAAACGTAACGCCAACATGTAGGAGCATAAATACATTGGGTCTTTATTGTGCCAACATTAGAATTATTTTTGTATGATATTAAGCCAATGTATGGCCACCATCTAGGTGCACCAATACATTGGGCCAACATCGGAACCATCTTTGTATGACATTGGGCCAACGTAAGGCCAACACGTAGGTGCACAAAGACATTGGGCCATCATCGGAATCATCTTTGTATGACATTGGGCCAACGTAACGCCAACATGTATGTGCACGAATACATTGGGCCAACATCGGAATCATCTTTGTATGACGTTGGGCCAACGTTACGCCAACATGTAGGAATATGTTGGGCCAAAATTGGGCCAACATCGGAATCATCTTTGTATGACATTGGGCCAACGTCACGCCAACATGTTGGCGCAACGTTGCGCCGATGAGCAAAATTACATTGGCCCAACATCATTTTCCGACATTGGACCAACGTAGCTTACAACGGTGGCCCAACATTGGGCCAACGTCAGCTTGCTATCTGGGTTGTTACTTGATAAATCATCGATCATTTATCTGAATTACTATTTTGTTGAACTATGATCGTTCTATTCTCTTGTTATTCAACATAATTTTTTAGCTCTACTGGTCAGAGACCAGAAGAGCTTATGCGATAGTAATGCGTCCGTCGTCCGTCCGTCTGTCTGTAAACAATTTTTCAAAATGCTACTCCTCCTACAGTTTTCGTCTGATTTCAATATAACTTGGCACACAAGTACACTACACTAAGATACATAATTCTGTGTATCGGTTTTTGATTTCGATGAACGGTATTGCCGTGGTTACTAAAAATAGAAATTTCTGTAAAATTCTTTCAAAATGCTACTCCTCCTACAGTTTTAGTCTGATTTCAATATAACTTGGCACACAAGTAGACTACACCAAGATACATAATTCTTTGTATCGGTTTTTGATCTCAATGAACGGTGTTGCCGTGGTTACTAAAAATAGAAATTTCTGTGAAATTCTTTCAAAATGCTACTCCTCCTACAGTTTTAGTCTGATTTCAATATAACTTGGCACACAAGTAGACTACACTAAGATACACAATTCTATATATCGGTTTTTGATTTCGATGAACGGTGTTGCCGTGGTTACTAAAAATAGAAATTTCTGTGAAGTTCTTTCAAAATGCTACTCCTTCTACAGTTTTAGTCTGATTTCAATATAACTTGGCACACAAGTAGACTACAATAAGATACATAATTCTGTGTATCAGTTTTTGATTTCGATGAAGGGTGTTCTGTGGTTACTAAAAATAGAAATTTCTGTGAAATTCTTTCAAAATGCTACTCCTCCTACAGTTTTAGTCTGATTTCAATATAACTTGGCACACAAGTAGACTACACTAAGATACACAATTCTGTGTATCAGTTTTTGATTTCGATGAACGGTGTTGCCGTGGTTACTAAAAATAGAAATTTCTGTGAAATTCTTTCAAATGGTACTCCTTCTACAGTTTTAGTCTGATTTCAATATAACTTGGCATATAAGTAGACTACAATAAGATACATTTTTGATTTCGATGAACGGTGTTGCCGTGGTTACTAAAAATAGAAATTTCTGTGAAATTCTTTCAAAATGGTACTCCTTCTACACACCCCTACTAATGTGTTCGGAACCTTTTATTTTTCGGTGTTCTGCTCATTATAAAACCCGATGAGTTCAGAGTAGCTCTGACAGTGGCTCTGGCGAGAGCTAGCGAGACTTCAGCGAGATAGGGTAAATTATTCAAGGAAATGTGGCTAGGAAGTGACTAGCACGTGGAGACATGGTAAACAGAAAAGTTATGTTGTGTTTTAGTTCACACCACCCTATAATACCATTCTGTAGAAATGTACTTCAATTAATCTTTCTTTAATTCATTCAAGTTTAAATTATTTTTAAGTATTCTCTTTGATACAATTTTCTGCTGTCATGAATTAAAATTTCTTTTTGGACAGATATTTTGCATGGGAACCGGGACTATATTTTTTGGCGTCAGATTAGCAAATAGGGCACCAATGTGACTTTAACTGACAAATCAGATGAATGAGAATTGCATTATGGGTTACTATACGAATACTACAGGAATTTTACGCTTGATAAATTCCTTTATTGTACTATCGGTGAATACAATTGCCAGGTGGATTCCCTGGCCAACACACGTGATCACGAGTATCGTTATGTAAAAAAAATGTTTTGTCCATTTAAATGAGTACGAGATGCTGCTCGTTTTCCTTTGAAATGCTGGTGTTCTGAACTTGACACGAACTATGTATACGTTTTATTAAACATATTTTTCTCTAGTAAACAACAAGTTAAAAACGCCCCTGATATTTTTAATAGTTTCTAATGTTTGCATTTTGTTCATAAGATTTTTTTTTATTTTGCATTCCACTGACATGATCATAGATTGACCTGAACCACGTGTTCGAAGTAACATGTAATCATGTATTTGGCGTAAACGTATACAATCAACAATTGGTCAGTTGCTCTTGGTAAGAATCTCTGTGCGCATTAATAGCAATAGCCATATAAGGCAAACAAAGGTTTGTCAGTGTAGATGATATTACACATTTTTTTTTTACCAGCGTATCGGTACCTAGTGAGCTGTAATTTTTGAAGTTAAAAATAAGATGTATTAATTGTTATTTAACCCCCCCCCCCCCCCCACCTTAAGCCACCCATTTCTGTTGAAAATCATGAAAGTCTTTCAGAAAGGTGTGGAAACACACATTTTTCACAGGACATGTTTCAGAAGAAACAGACTATAGCAATTTCCTGTTTACTGCCAATTTTATTTATAAAACCGGATCTACCCTATAACCTTTGAATAGGTAAACATAAACTACGTGCCTTGAATTTAAATCACAATAACATTAGCAGGGGTGTACAGTTTTAGTCTGATTTCAATATAACTTGGCACACAAGTAGACTACAATAAGATACATAATTCTTTGTATCGGTTTTTGATTTCGATGAACGGTGTTGCTGTGGTTACTAAAAATAGAAATTTCTTTGAAATTCTTTCAAAAATGCTACTCCAGATACAATTTTAGTCTGATTATAATATAAATGTGGCATGCAAGTAGACTGCACTAAGAACATAAAGAGACTTAATCAAGGATCATTATTCTATTTATTGCTGTTGAAAAGTTTCAATTTCCAACTGCTTAAGTACTTTTCTCTTCCTTTGCTATAAGTACAAACCAGTCGATCTTCAGTCTCGACAGAGACTTCTGGTTATTTTTTGCTTATTACACCTATGGATTCTTGGCACAGCTGTATTACACTGGTGGACAGGTGGTCATTGTTATTAAGACCCTTGAACTTTGAGTATACATGTATTGTTGCGTGATTTTTGAAAATTAAATCAGCAATTTAAGAGCAATGCATACCCTTGGCAGTTGTGTAGGTCTTATCGCGAAGCATTCATGCATTTTAGTGTCTGACTTAATTTTGTGCTGCATATAATACTTCAATAAATAAAACTAGACTAAATAATAGTAATTTCTAAATATATTCTCTTTTGAGAGCTAGAAGTTTGAATTTAAGCAAGCGTTTTTGTATGTAAGCAGGCCTTGGTCTGCATCAAAGATTATCATCCTTCAGTCAAAAGTTTACCTTCAAAGTCATGTTATACAAGTATATAAATTCCCGCGGGAAATGTCACTCAGCTTTGTAAGATGAATGTGTTAGAAATTACTAACAAAATCAAATTACTTCAAAGAATACAAACATCAAGCCAATTTCCATCAATTAATTTTAACATGTATTGGAATTAATTACATTCCTTTTTATGGTACACGTTTGATATAATACAGTATTATCCAATTTTCTTAGGGTACATGTATCGTGTAGTAGTATTTCTCTAGGTATGTATCTTAAAAAAGCTACACACAATATTCATGACATGATTGTTAAAATTCTGAAGACTTTGAACTAAGACCATTTCATACAATCTGTGTATTTCTTGTATGAAGTTCCTATAGTTTATCCCAAAACCACCGTACCGTTGGACAAAACAGGTGAAATTCTAAGTCCGACGCACTTACCGTGTGTCCGAGGTTTGTTTTTTGTCGGGTTAAAAATTGTGTATTATTTATTTGATCATATAGAATTGTTTGTTCGAAAGTCCTGTGATGTTTTTTTTCTTTTTCGCGAAGACTGTTTTTTTTCTTTTTCGCGAAGACTGTTTTTACTATATTATAGAGAATAAGAGATCAGGTTCAATTTTTTAGACCCCTACCGGTGAAACCGGAGGGGACTATAGGTGACGTGTCCTTTGAGTTTGTCCGTTCGTCTAGATGTCATCATGTCTGTCTGTCTGTCAGTCTTTCCTACTTGGTTTTCCGCACTTTTTTCTAAACGCTTGCAGATATTGAGCTAATTTTTGTATTTATGTGTATCTTGAATGAGTTGCATATCCAATTCGAGTGTTGTTTCGCTTCATTGATTTCTAAAAGAATTATGGCATTTTTAATTTTTCACAATGGGTGAAGATGGGGTTCGTGCTGCGCTATATTAATGATCCAAACAAGATTGTCATGTTAAAAATTATTATACCCCCACGCAAAAGTTGCAGGAGATATAGTGATTTTGACCCGTCCGTCAGTCAGTCATTGTGTCTGTCCGTCAGTCCTATTTTTTTGTCAGCGCAATTCCTCATAAACCGTTTTCGTCCGTCGTCCTCCATCGTGTGTTAACATTTGAACATTCCCAGCTTCTTCTCTGAAACCACTGAACCAATTTCAACCAAATTTGGCATAAAGCATATATGGGTAAAGGGGAAC